TTTTTTTTTTTTATTTTTATACACTGAAAGCCCTCTGAAATATGAACATCTATGTGACCCTGGAGCACAAAACCAGTCGTAAGGGTCAATTTTCTGAAATTGAGATTTATACATCATCTGAAAGCTGAATAAATAAGCTTTCCATTGATGTATGGTTTGTTAGGATAGGACAATATTTGGCTGAGATACAACTATTTGAAAATCTGGAATCTGAGGGTGCAAAAAAATCTAAATATTGAGAAAATCATCTTTAAAGTTGTTCAAATGAAGTTCTTAGCAATGCATATTACTAATCAAAAATTAAGTTTTGATATATTTACGGTAGGAAATTTACAAAATATCTTCATGGAACATGATCTTTACTTAATATCCTAATGATTTTTGGCATAAAAGAGAAATGTATAATTTTGACCCATACAATGTATTGTTGGCTATTGCTACAAATATACCCCAGCGACTTAACACTGCTTTTGTGCTCCAGGGACACATATTGATCAAAATGCTCCTCTCTAGAGTTATTTTTTTCAGCTGACTTTCGATGTTACATGACATTATTGATCTCAAGTTGTTTTATTGACATCTTTCTGCAGTTGAATCACTGATTGATGGATTCCATGATTCATGATTGATTTCAATGTTTCTTCTGATGTTCATTCATGTTTATTTGCTGCTGTAACTAGTAGTAAAGAGGAAGAGATGATCAGCCATCTGTCACCACACATCTGAATCGGTTATTAATGTTCAGCTGAATATTTGCGGTGCTGATATTTAGTTGCGTCTCTAGTCCTTCAGGCTTCATTCGTGTGGTTCTCTGTGTTGTTCAGGATTGGAGTCTCCGGCGTCCTCGAGACTCGGCCTGGCTGGTTCCCGTCGGCGCTCCTGAACCTGAGGGTGTGGTTCTGTACCCGGATCACTGTCCCAGCACCAGCAGCCTGCCTGGACCGTCCTACCGGATACAGGCTCTGTCTGAGACCGCCGAACACGAGGAGAGAGCAGAAGAAGCCCAGAGTCCCGTCAGCGGAGCCTCCATGGGCTACGGCAGCGGAGGATCCAGTCCAGACCACCGACACCACGGTAAAACCTCACACACACGGGGGATTGGAGATAGCTAAAATTTAAAAATACATGTTTTAATTCAGCAGAATTAAAAACCTGAAAAATTACTTTTTTACTCTGAAGACTTCTTTTGAGTGTGAATGATCCTTTAATGAAAAATTTAACTTTTTTTTTTTCGCTTTTACAAGAATCAAAACAACTTGAGTTTTCATGTTCATGACTCATTCAATATGGCTATGAAATCATTTGAATTTTGAGTATTAATAAAAATATGAAGTAATATGTAATCTATAGTACTGTAAAATAGAAAAATAATATTTACTAAATAATTATAGAAAATATACTATATATATATATATATATATCTCTCTCTCGCAAACGCGGCGGCGGATCTCCACCAAATTCGAGGGCCGTTACGGAGATATGGCCGTTCAAAGTTTCAATGGTATTTCATGCACTTAAGCTTTAAAGCGTTTCATCCAGGTCGCAGTAGCAAACAATGGAACGCGCTCTGCTGGACAAACTACATAATTACACCATTTACAAGCATTTTATCTGCGTTTTATGTTCTGTAAAAAAAATGTTCATAACGGTGGCATATTCGCCGATACGATATATCTGCGACAGGCTCATATCGGTCGATAAAATCAGCAAAACGATATATCAGTCGGGCTCTAATCAGTTTCCAGGGAATGCATAATAAGTCACCAAATGCATGAATGCAACAGTAACCGATTGAGAATCCACCAGTAACCGCTCCGATGAAGAATCATGAGCTGTTTTTCTCTCAGATGTGGAGGCGCTGGGCTCTGATGATGAATCCTGTGACGGTAGCACACGGCCGATCTGTGATTCTGAGAGCGTTCCGCATCAAGACGTCTGGAGGAGAAGCTCTGAGACGCTGACGGATGGCAACGATGCAGGTAAAACTCTCTCTAGTTTTTCTTCTTTTGTAAGTCACTTTGGATAAAAGCATCTGCTAAATGCATGAATGTAACACTTTTGAGTCTTTGATTTGTTCTCAGGGTCTCAGATGAGAGCTGAAGGTTTGCACAGCCAGAAGTCCTCTAGCAGATCCAGTTCGGCAGTGAAGCCCACGGTGAGCGGCGTCAGGCCCCTAATGGAGGACACAGGAGAGCCCTATCGTCCAGCACAGAGGAGCCACCCGTACCTGAGCCGCGTCAGCAGGACCTCAGCTGGACTCCAGAAGTCTGCTTCAGCACACAGTCTGAGCGCCGACCGTGAGTGTCTGATCTGATGAGGGCTGATCAGCAAAGGCTCTGGAATACATCACACTGATTCAGATCGTTTTAAAGAGCGTTCATCATTAGGTCAAGATTTTTGCGAAATAATAAATTACATTTTTGGCTTATTTTTCGCCGCCTCCAGAACACTCTGAATATACGGCACGAGTCACATGGGATCATTTTACCAGAGTTTTGCATTCTTTTTAAAAAAAGCTTTATTTAAGACATTAAATGCACAATATTGTCAAAATCTGACATTGTGACATTTTGTTTTTCTGCACTGCAAAAAATGAATATATTTCCCAGGACAACAAATCTAAACATCCTTAAATCAAGACACATTTACTGGAGATGCAAAATGACTTGTTTTCTGAAAAATATATGAAAATGAAGTGACTGTTTATGACAAGAAATAATATCTGCCAAAGTGGTAAGAAAAATAAACAGTTTAAAGGGAAATGTTTATTTTTCTGACCCTACTGGCAGACATTTGTTTAAGCATCAGGTCACTTAATTTGTATAATTTTTTTTAGAAAATAAGATTTGTCTTTTTTTCTTCTCAAGAAATTATATATTTTTGAAGACTTTTTTATTTTTTATTTTTTTAGTATGATCCTCAACAAAACACGTGGATTTGCTCTTTATAAGAACCAAGTTAGAAATCTTTCCACTTGAGTTTTCATGTTTTGACTCATTCAATGACTTAAAAATAATAATATAAAAAAAAAAAAATAATAATAATATATATATATATATATATGTGTATATATTAAAATAAGAGTATTATTGAATAAAAATATTACAAAATAATTTGTACTAATACTATAATACTATAAAATAAATAAAACATTTAAGTAAAATGTAATTTAGTATTTAATAAATAATTATAAAAAATATTCTTGATTGTCAAATGTAAAACAATTTTATTTTGGCTGCAAATAATTAATTAAATCAATGTACTGCAAGTTTCAGAGTAAAGCGAGGCACGCTTGCAGCTCATGAGCCAGTGTTTCAGTCTCATATTCAGCATGTATATTTATTTAAACACAGCCTGCGCTTTGATAATCACAAGCCATATTGTGATAATGATTTTATGTGGATATTATTATTCATCATGCAGCCTTAACAGCAAAGCATGCTAACTGTTCTGTGTTTGGCTGCACAGACGAGCACAGAACACCGTTTAGACTTACATATTGTAAAAAGGGGCATAATATGTCACCTTCAATGTATTTATTTTTCCCAACAGGAAGGTCCCTGTCTCCATCCCGTCTGCGGCGAGCGGCGCGTCCCGTCCTGTCTAAGCTCAGTCTGGAGAAGGTCGCCCCTCATCAGCCGTCCTCCCCTCAGCCGTGGGACAGTCCGACCCAGAGCCGTGTCCTCCGCTCCTACATGAGCCCCACCACCAGCTCCATGGCCAAAACCAGCCGCTCTGCATCCATCGGCGACAGCCTGCATGTGGGCAGCAGCTCCTGCGAGAGTCTGGTGCTCCCCGCGCCATCCCTCCTCACAAACACCGTCAGACCCCGCGTGTGTCAGCGCCTGAGCAGATCGGCTTCATCGCAGAACCTTCTCTCTGACCCGAGCGCTTCTTCATCCTCCTCCTCCTCCTCCAGCACAGACCCCCAGCAGACGCTGTCTCACACGCCTCGAGCGGAGGTGAAGGCTTTCTCTGTGACGTCTGACGCTCCTGATGATCAAGGTTTGCCCCGGTGATGCTCTTCCTCCGTCATGCTTCTTCCTCTCTGTTTCTCTCCCTTCTTCTCGCTCTCCTCCAGCCGTCTGTGTGTTTCGGGTGAGTTCACCCTGTGTTCATATTCTCTCAGTCATTCGTTACCGCTGGTTTTGTTTCTCCTGCTGTGTGATGGTTCTGATATCTAGACGTTTAGCAGCTGATGTCGTGTGGTCAGTCTTTCACAGACTGACGACGCTTCTCCACAGTTACTAACATCATAAATTAAGCAACGTTTTTAAAAAAAAAAATATTTTCATTTTTAAAAATGTAATGTACATTTATAACACTATACTTTGTTTTCTTACCTTGGTATTGAATAACATTAAGCTAGTTTACACTGCAGTGTGATGGTAAATTTTACATCTTTTTCTTTTTTGACCAACATATACAATCTCTCAATATTTTTTCCTCTTTTGGAATGTCAGAAAAACACTATGGACATTGTGTTTTTAAAACATAGATTCTTCATCAGATTTGGAGAAATGTAGCATTGCATCACTGTCTCACTGCAAGTGAATGGGTGCCGTCAGAATGAGAGTCCAAACAGCTGATAAAAACATCACAATAATCCACAAGTAATCCACAGCACTCCGGACTCTGTCATTGATCTGATGATGGTGATGTTCACAGACGCGTCGGTCGGTCTGGAGCTCTGCAGGCGGGCCGCAGCTGATCTGTGCAGCAGTGTGAGGACAGCGACGCGGCTCTACAGGACGGTGAGTGACTAGTGAACTTCAGCTCTGTAAGTCTGTCACTTCTGCAGCATGCTCACCGATGGCACTGAGTCATTACTATATCTCTGTGTGGTATTTCAGCTGATCTCCCATGATGCCGAGCGCAGTGCAGAGCAGCAGCAGATGCATCAGCTGATGTCAGACGCGCTGCAGCTCGTGCGATCGGAGCTGGATTCAGTGTCTGGATCGTCCGGAGCCATGAGGATGGAGGAGGGAAAGGAGACGCTCGCATTACTGGAGCAATACTCACAACTGCTGCTGCGCTCGGTGCAGAGGAGACTCCATCAGGACGAGTAGAGCTGCAGATCCGTGTGTGTGTGTGTGAGAGAGAGAGAGAGAGAGAGAGAGAGAGAGAGAGAGAGAGAGAGAG